GACCCCAGAAATCTTCCAAGAATTGGTGCCAATGCATCGGATATGCAAGCTCTTTCAAACGCAATAGATCGCAATCGTAATAATTCGATGCTAGCCATAAACACTGCCGGCTTAACCGTTGGCACAGGAGATCCTAGTCCTATGAGTGCGAGTTCCTCAACTGGGTCTCCAATAATGCCAGCTCTTGGTTATCATCATCATAGCGCCCATCATCAAGCGTTGCTCAACAGTCACTTCATGGCCGCCACTCAATCTATGAACAATAGTGCCGGCTTGATAGCACCAACCCAACGTGTTCCCGCAAATCATAACCGAAGAAACACTCGCTCAGATGATGGTAACGACATAGGTTCCGCATCCAACGGGGATCGTCCTCAGAAGGTATATTCTTTCGTGGCTCTACCAGGGATAAATACCAAGAAGAGACCACGCCGCCGATACGATGAAATCGAACGTCATTATGCTTGCAATTTCTCGGGATGCACAAAGAGTTACGGTACTCTCAACCACTTGAACGCTCACGTACAGATGCAGAAACATGGACCCAAAAGACATCCTTCAGGTATGTTTTCTCGAATAAAAAAAAGGGAAACCCTATAACCGCATCCTTCTTTACATGCTCATGACGCTATTTTTACAATACAGAATTCAAGGAACTTCGAAAACAATGGAGACGACAAAAACGCGAAGAGGAAGAGCGGAAAAACGCAGAAAGTAATGTTTCCAAAAGCGCTGCGGCTGGCCTCAACATATCTCTTCCATCGATATAAACCATATCTATATTATATTAATCAAAGCTTCCAGAATTATCTTTAAATGGAACATTTTTTTTTCAATCACCATCCATTTTTCCTCTCAGCAAACAAAACAAAAAAAAAAACAAAAAAAAAAAAAAATCCTTACATAAGCAATATGATGTAGGAAAAATATTCTATATAGTACATATGATGGACAATTTGATTTCAAAATTTCTTCACCAAAATTTTTGCGCTTTTTTATTATTATTCTTTTCATTTTTCATTTTTTAATGAGTATGGATTTTTCAGGGAAAAGGAAGATACGATTGACTTTGTGGAAAATCAAGAAAGATCATCCGTGTATATATCCCTATCCTATCGTAAAATCTACCTTCCACACCCAGAAAAAAAAAAAAATAATAAATTTCTTGTGAAATTTTTCCTTTAGTGTTTTTAACTAGATATTGTTTCTTTCTTTTCTTTCTTTCTTTCTTTTGTTTGTTACACTTTCATCATTTTTTTCAAAGTTAGGGCATTAAGAAAAAAAAAATTATTTTTTTTCTATTCACGAAATAGATAGACTATAAAAGAGAAGAGCGTTGCAAGTAATTTATTCCTAATATTGATTGCACATACTTTCATTTTATGTTGGCTTTTCTTTTTTTATTTTTTTTACGGAATAAGATTATGCATAGCACCAATTCTCTTTTATTCGCAACTTCAATAAATTTAATGAATTTAATTTTTTAATCT